GAAAAAGATGCAGATGATGATAATGAGGAAGAGGTGTCTCACTTTAGGTCTTCTATTACAAATGTGTTAAAAGTATATGCTACTTTTGTTGCTTTTCAGTTTGATCATCATATCAGAAATAGTCTAGAATTGTAGACAGATCTACTCAGAAATCTTTATTATCAAAGTATGTAATTATAAATTAACTATACACATATCAATTTTAACATTTATGAATTTTTCAAAAAATAATCTAAAATCAATGGAGAAAAGAAGAATACTGTATCAAGCATTCAGTCAAAATCATGATAAGATTTATGGTTTATTTGAATGATAAAGACGTGAAAGACTTTGATACATTGGGCTGATAAAATCTAGAGTTTTTTTTAGTTTGGATAGGTTTTTAATATCACTTCTTTTTCATAGAACTATATTAATATTTATTACATGCAACAAAAAATAAGAACACTTGCTGGGCTGTGCATTCATAATTTGTACATTAAAGAATAATAGGATAGATCAGATTATAAGCTTATTTTGATCAAGATTGTATCTAAGGATAATAGGATTTAGATTATAGTAATTGTGACTTGAAATTTTAAAACTGGTAAGTTATTCTTGATGTTTTCATAATTCCAAAGAATATTATTATATCAGGAAATTTTTAAAGTGATGAACTATATAGTTAAACGCATTGATCAATATCAAACCAATAATCATCGCATATTTTCACATTAATTTATGTTAATAATCAATAGTGACGATGATTTACATGTTTTTCAATTGGCTTTTCAACGGTTGTAAATAAATTCTTGTCGATTTATGCATTTTCTAATTGGCTTTTCAATATTAAAAATAATAATACAGATTTATTGCAAATACTATATATAGAAATATTAATTACTTGTATACTAAAAATAAAATAATTTATATAATATTTGTTATTTTTATCATAACGTGAAACAACGTGAACTAATTCAATAATCGATTCAATAGGAATAAAATCATAAATATTAACTAATTTTACTAAGGATAATCATATTTAAACCTTCTATTTTCATCATTATAACAAAAATTATACCATTATACGAGCGCAACATTAAATGTAGAATATTCTTTAATTTCCATATTAACTAACATTAATACCTAATAGGAATAACATATTCAGTTAATATGATATAGTAAAATGATAAAAATTTACTTTGGTTAACAATAATTAACATACCTTGCCAAAACAGACACCTTGATCTGTATGATAATCATCAATTTCTTCTTCGCTCAAGTTAATAGAAATATTACTGAATTCAGGATTATAATAATATCTGTTACTAGCATGTATGTAATCATCACTTGAGGCTGCTGTAATGTAACTATACAATGAATAATCGTATTACTTACTATCATTTCTTCAATCAAATATTCGAAAAGATCAAAAAATTTATTAAGTGTTGACAAGAATTGTTCAAATGCAAGCAACGTTTCAGGTGCTAGATGATTATTTGTTTGTTTATATAGAGTAGTAAATTTGTTGAATTCACTTAATGGAAAAGTTGTGATTAAACTATTCATTGGTGGTTTTTGTTGGTGTTTATTAGAATTAGACAACTTATTTTATATTAAGTATTTAATAATAGAATTACGTTGAACCTATATTTGTAAATTATAAATTGTAAATATTAGTGATAAATATAAAAATTATTTATCATAAAAATTAAAAAGACTTACATTTTGAATTATCTGTATTGTTGCCTGGCGTTTATTACTTGAACGATATGAATTTTTGACAGCAGTTTTATGTAAATATTTGTATGTTTCTGTGGTAAATCCGTTAATGGCATTAAATTCAAAAATTGCTGGAATTACATGATAATACCAGTTGTGTAATTTTAAGAGTTATAAACCCGAATGTGAATATTCTTTGAATAGTTTAACAAATAATTTTGCCCATTTCTTAATTAAATCCTATTATAAAATATAATAATCGGTAAATAATAATAATTGCATATTCATCAATAATAAAAAAATTGTATATTTATAAGTTAAATACCTTATTTAATCAATATCTTCTCAGAAAATTTTTCCTGATGACTATAAATATACATTTGATTCCAATAAACATAAATATTTGTTAAGTCTTCATCAATTTTTTCTTTTATTTGATAATGATGAACTACAATATTTTATAAAAAGCCCATCCATAATGAATACTAACACTTTCATCATATTTCAGAATTCATCAGCAGTAAATCTTTTTATATTTTCAAGACTATGCTTAAATATTTTCAACCCAGAAAACCTAGGTATTTCAGAAAGTCTTTTATCAAACTCATCTACGGCTATTTGTCCATATAGATTTTTTAATAAATCACATGTATAAGTCACTTGATAATTAAACAAACCCAAATCACAATAGTGCATCATAGGAACGAATGCTGTATAAATATTAAGTTTACTATCATAATAGAATTACATATTATTAGTTAATGAATGTATTAATAAATTAATAAACATATTTTAAAAAAGTAAACTTACGAATATTTCCAGAATATGTTTTCTGTTTCATGTAATGAGAACTTTTTTGCATCACCATCTGTTATAACCTTTTGCATATCCTGTGGTATTCTAATATAAATATCTTCAATCTTTAAATCTATATTATTAAGATCATCAACTGATACTACACAAATACTACAAGGACAATTACAATTTATCGAATTATATGTTAATGTTATAGATGCTTGTTTAGGAATATCTTCAATTATCTGAGATATGAATGGAAAGTATCACAGATTATTGCTATTTGGAGTAATAATTTTCATTTCACAATCTTTATAATCAAGTAATGTGTTAATTATTATTTCAAATGAATTTTGATAAATAATTCGTTTAGCTAATAGATATGAATTTTTTTTTCAGAATTAGTTTTTGCTTTAATTTTCGGCAAATATCCTATAACAACTTTTGCATTAGGTTTATTACAATGCCAGTTAAGGAAATTACCAAGCGTCAAATAAATAGGATGTTTGCTTGATTTTTCTAGAAAATCACACGTGGTAGTATCAGAATATAAGATAATAGATAACACCTTTCCATTATTAGGTAGAGTGTTATGAGCTTTATTCCACTATTTTCCATTATATTGTTCACCATAAATCTGTTCTCCTTCATTATTATACAACGGCATGTAATCAAATATACATAATTCAAATAATTCCTTATTTGCTAATAATTCTTTTACACTATCAAGTATCAGACGATGAAATAAATAATATGTTTCATTATTGTATATCATCACATTTGTTTTTGAAACTCTAAATGAGGCATTTTTATACTGTCTACAATCTGATACCCTTGCTTAATTGATGTCGGTAATATCACATCATCTCGACAAATTCTTTTTACAAATTTTAGGATTTCATTACCAACTGATTCTGAAAGTCCTCGCTTAATTATTATATTCATAAAATCACTGAATTCCTGGCTTGGGAAACTTCATTTATTATTCGCAATATCTTGAAGATTAAGAACAAATGATGGATTATCATTTGTAATATCTATTTCCAACAGATATACAAAATTCTAGTAAAACAATACAAATATTAATATATAATATATTCATATTATCATAATTAAAATAACAAATAATAAGTAAGATGAATTATTAATCTCATTATATTTATCATCATTAATAATATCTGTACCAAGAATCTCGTCACTATCATCACTACTAATATTAATATTATCCTCATATTCTTAATCACGAATATCTTCAATAATATTTTCAATAATGGGTGAATGTTTAACTAGTAAATATCGAACTTTTTCTTTACTTTTTTTTAATTCTTCAGAAGTAATAGCATCTGTTCATCTATATGATCAGCTGCATGTGTTTTGACATGGTTATGAAGTGATGCACACTTCGAGAATATTCTTATATATTCATTACACGTAAATATTGTATTATTGAGATGAATAAGTAATTAATTGACTAAATAGAATGATAGTAATTTGATTTAAATGAAATAATTGTAGTAAAATTGACTTAAATAAATAATTCATTATTAATAAATTAATTATTAATAAAAGGAATTTTCTTGAATGTTTTTAAGAGAAAAATAAACTATTAGTATTCAATTGATGATTGATTCAATTCACCCGCCATTGAATTTAGTTGATAATAGACTATAAATAAACTTTAGTCACCAATCATTATAAAAATTATAAAAAAACATATTTTTTTGAGAAAATTAATCAAGTTATCTTTTTTTTTTCTTTGTTTATTGTCATGAAAAAAAATAATTCTTCAGTTAACATAACCGACTTAAATTCTTTGACATGTCCAAAATCAAGACATACAATAACTAATATTGGCAAGATATAATTTCTTTTATTTTTTAAAATATTAATTTTAATTAATATACGAAGTTTATTTTAATTTAATAAAGACTAATGACAGAGATGATAGTAATCGTTTTAACTTACAATATAAAGATAAGGAAAGAGAACATTCTCACAGCCTAACATCAGAAAAAAGAAATCATTCTCGCAGTTCAACATATGAAGAAAGGAGTCGTTCTCACAACCCAAAATATAAAGAAAGAAGCTGTTCTCACAGTCTAACATCTGAAGCAAGGGAATTAGTTCTCGTTAATCAGAGAATGAAGAAATTAATCTAATCAGATCATCATCAAAGTGAAATTGTGATGATCATCCTTGCCATTCAGTAAGAATCCCAAAAGAATAATGTTATTGTTCTAGTTGATAATTCAGAGAAGTGAGTACATACTAATTTTAATTTTCAATGTGATATATTTTTGTTGTAATTTTGTTAAAATTTTTGTTTTATTTTTTATCACTTAACCATCTAAAATCAATAAAATATCTTCCTTAAAAGTAGCGTCAGTTAATAACAATTATACTAAAGGTAAAGTATATTGTTTGTTTGTATATTAACTATATCACAGACATATTTTCACTTTCTTATAATTATCATAGTCAACAATAATTTCTTAAATGCATTAATGAATAAACAAGACATAATTATTGGTAATCAAAAAGATATTATGAATAATATTAACGACATTAAAAAAAAGCATGACAATCATGATAAAGAACTTGAACTATTAACTTATAACAATGCTGAAACAGTGAAAACTATTCCTAATAAAAAGA